ATCCTTTTTTTTTTAAATTGTTTTCATTCTTGATAATATAAGGTTCCTGTTATAACAAGGTACATGTACTGCACTTTGCCAAGTCCTCAAAGGTCCTCTTTTGAGGTTGGACTCATGGACTGTACAAACAATATGACAATTCTTTTGTTCTCATAATGTAGTTTAGTATTTTACATTCTAAAACTGAAAAAACCTACAGAAAACTATCCTATTTCCTTCGTTTAGTGATGGCCTTTTCAACTGGGGTTTTCTTCCTGTTTCAGTATTAAATTTGTTTCAGAAATTTCAGAATGTTCCTGTTTTTCTTTCGATGGGAAGCATTGACTAAAAAACAGTCCAGATTTCTTCTTTGGAATGAGAGAGAAACTTGCATTTTATTTTATTCTGATATTTAATAGACAATGACATAACAAATTGCTGTGTGTTAACAAATGCCAGACAATCGTGAATTATAGACACATTTATTTCATTTCATCATTTCCTGTGTTTCGTCTTGATATATACGTACACCCATTTGCCTTTTTTTTTACAAAGCACAGGTATCAGTTCCATGCAAAGGCTTGAATACAGCCCACAAAAGAAACAGCACTGGTACCGGTATAGCTGGTACACGCAAAGGCTTGAATACAGCCCACAAAAGAAACAGCACTGGTACCAGTACTAGCTGGTACACGAAAAGGCTTGAATACAGCCCACAAAAGAAAAAGCACTGGTACCAGTACTAGCTGGTACACACAAAGGCTTGAATACAGCCCACAAAAGAAAAAGCACTAGTACCGGTACTAGCTGGTACACGCAAAGGCTTAAATACAGCCCACAAAAGAAAAAGCACTGGTACCGGTATAGCTGGTACACACAAAGGCTTGAATAGAGCCCACAAAAGAAAGAGCACTGGTACCAGTACTAGCTGGTACACGCAAAGGCTCGCATACAGCCCACAACAGAAAAAGCACTGGTGCCGGTACTAGCTGGTACACGCAGCAAAGGCTTGAATACAGCCCATAAAAGACAGAGCACTGATACCAGTATAAGTTTATCCAAAAGTATCTTTTGGTGACTCAAGTCAAAAACCGTAGTAGAGATTCCCTGACTGAATTTAAACTGAGCTTAATTGTTAAAGGTACACACAGGTACAACCTGACTCAAGATATGGACTTGGACAAAACAATCAGGTCACAACTCCAAAATTTAGCGACTGTGTAACAAGCATGTACATGTACATGTATGCACATGCAGTTCAGTTTTCAGCCTTTGAAGTCACATTGGCTAACAGGCTAAGTTAAACAATGTTTGTGAGAAGACAATGGGACTACGATACTTCTATAGATGAATATTTTACCCAGTCTCACATGAAGTTTTCACCTTCCAAACTGTGCATTTACATGTACATTGGTACATGTACACATGCACGTACATGTACATTGTATACATAAGTACAATAAAGGGATACATGTGTATACATGTACAGCACTTGTTCCGGTACATGTACAAATAAAATGTAAAGAACACGTTAGAAAAATCAAGAAATTTCAGACTACATTTCTGGGGCTGTCAAGTGTCCAAATTTGTAACTACGTACATGTACATGTACCTATGGATAAATTTATGGTGTGTACATGTAGTCCCCTAATTACCAATCGAGTCATGCAGTAAATTGATTTACAAGGTAAGCGTGGCAGGCTTATCACCCATGTTTATGCCACGTGTACCTAATTTACACTGTTCACGTACAAGTGCAATATTGTACATGTACATATATATGACAATTTGTGCTGCGGCGATATCGAAGTGTCAAAGATAATGTAATTTCAAACTCGCAAACAAAGGACAATTTCTGGTCCTATAGATTAGACTCTGCTGGCTAGGGGTTGCTCAAGACCTTTTATTTTTAATTAAATTTTTTCTTTTTGTTATTTTTATTTATTTTCACCTGTTTATAATTTGTAGTACGTCACTGTCTATAGCACCACCATAATATACATGTATGTATGTAATGCAATATATCAGGTACAAAGTTTCACTAAATTCTGTCACCAGAACATAAAATTACAACACCACAATTTTATGAAAATGATTTTTAAAATCAATCCACTGTACATGTATTCACATATACACAGTATACTGCAAATGCACGCGCTACATGCATCGGCACTTGTTTCTTATGAGGATACTCCACACAGAAGCTACTCAGTTTTTCCATCATGAACACTCCTTCAAGATGGAGTTTCGTTTTTAATTTTTCTCTTCATTTTGCTCCCAACAGCCAGAAACGTAAAATACCTTTAAAACTGGATCCCGGGGAGGGGTGAACATGTGCAGCTGCAGCTGACTTTAAAAAAAGCAATTGGCATTTACTTCATACCATGCGTACATGTAAGCCTTGTGTCAGAAATGTGTGCCCTGATTACAGCCTTTACAGCAGCTGTTCCTTTACAATATTACAGCAGTCACAGACAGAGCAGTATTAAAACTGTCGCTGAATGACCTCCACCCATCATTTTGATAAAGTTTTTGTCTTTTCTTTGTTGGAATCCAAATGTTCTCTTACAGCCAAACTAGCTTTTCATTACCTCCAAAAAAACAAATTGTACATTTCCCGTTTAAACCTTGTTTAGTAGAGCAAACATGAGCCTCAATTGAATTCTATTATTATGGTTAGTTAAATCATTCATTTCTAATTCATTTTGCAAAACCTACATGTACTTTACATAATATGATTGCATGCATTACGCCATAATTTGTTACAAATGCTGTGAACTTAAATACACACTGTGTAACTTTTGTGAAATGTGTCACAATTTGTTGCACATCTAACACAATAAAAAAGGCATACATGTAAGTGAAGTTCACCGCTGCATGAAGTTTCGCAAAATCGACTGCTGTGCATACATGTCCAAACAAGGTCTTCAAACCCTACATTACGTGGACCCTATTTTGTTCACATAATATATGTACATGTACATTGTAAGTCAAACAAATGCTTGTTTGCATGTTTTTTCAAAGAGCATGTACACGTGTGTGGGTAATTCCAGAAATCAGGCATCCAAAAGTGTGACATATTCGTGTCCCTGTTACATCTGACCTTTGTTATTTGACATGGAAATATCACCGGAATTGTTTTCAAACTGTATTACTATTAGAGTAAAAACGATTGCAGTTACACCATGGGTAAATCTCTTTGTTGAGTATGTGTGGTTCTGAGAAGAACCGGGGAATAACTCAACATTTCGAAAAGTGCAATCTGTCCATCTTCAGGAGACTGCAGGATTCTGACTGTCACACTAAATACCAAAAAAAAAAAAGAAACGATGAGGTTTTTCCCTTGCAATTATTGTGTAAATCAACTTTTTTTCAATGTAAATGAATTTAATGTAATCAACACATATTAACTGACAAATACACATGCAAATTAAAAGGGAAAGTGAAACTCGTCTTGTTTTGAATGGTCATGACAATTGTGATGTCCCTGATATACATGTGTACACATTGGTCTCCATATTAAAATAAAGACCCATGTACCTTGTATATCAGTTTCCTATGTCTGGCCCCAAGGTAGGCACGTATGTAAACCTAGTACCAGCCCCAATGCAACCCAACCCAATGGTCAGTGGTTACACACTGAGCTGAGCTACAAACTGTGCAGATGGCAAGAATGAGCAGTCAACACACAGCTGTACATGTGCCACTTGAGTGATAACCAATGCCAAAAATCAGTAGACTGTGCATACTGAACCTGCATGTACACGCCCGTACCACTCGAATAAATAGACCTTTTCTCTGAAGAGGAGTCATCCATTTTGTCCTCCTGCAATTCTTTGGTCATTACTCAGACGATGGACGCAATTTGTGGAGGAGTTTGTCAATATGCAATGCATCATGGTCCATTAGCACTTGTGCGTAAAAAGACCCATAAGCATGCCCCAGACATACATGTACAGGTGCATCATGTACTTGCATATGCCGGAATGGTGGTAGGGACACACATATTGTACATTTAACATGTGGCTTTTCGGACGTGGAGACAAATGAAAAGGATTATTTGGTAATCAAAGGGCAGGACCATGTACCGTACAAATACCGGTACCATGATTTTCACTGGACAACCATGCAAAGGCTTTTAATCAATATACGTGTATGTCCATGAGGGAGCATATAAACCCATTTCCTTCAGATTGACAAGTGGCCCAAAAACGTGATAAAGTACATGTACGTGTAGTTTGAGGGGGCTCATTTGGTCTTGTACTGGTTACGCAAAGGTACTGCAAACTGACATGCACACGTGGAAATATACATAACAAGCACTCGCAAAGATGTGAAATATGCAACATTCAGGTGAATTCCTGTAACACAGAGCCTTGCTTCTTCCTGCAAGCTGATACACCTGTACATGCAACATTTCAGGTGAGTAGTAGCAGGAGCTGCAGAGGCCCCATATGGTGCAGAGAGGAAAGGAAAGATATGGGTGTACTGGAAATTTCAACCGGATGAAGAATTGAGAGATAAACAGCTGACCTAAATCCTAACATGGTAAAATGAGCAATTTTACCTTTGGATGTACCTGTACTTAATTAAGTTTGGTAAAATCGCTTGACATTAACCGTGTGCATGTTTTTAGCTAAACAAGGGTGTATTTTGGCAGTCACAACCAAGAATTGGTGGGGCTTGTTCCTCTCTGGTAAATTGTTTGACAGTCTCCTGCGATTGAAATAAAAATTTCCAGAGAAATTCTTCCATGAGAAGTAACCCACTCAACTCTTGGTTATTACTGCATTTTCAAAGAGGTACATGTACATGCACCGGTAGGTGCCCAACATTTACAAAGGGGGGGGACCCAAATGGAGATGAACCGAAAAGTATGCAAAGGTATACTTAAAAGAATATGAAAAATTGTAGGAGGGGTTCACTGGGGCAACCTCCCTCTAGACCCATTATTGTGAATGGCAGACCAAATGGAAACCAGTGTATTTCTAAGGAAAAATTGGTAGGCCTATAGTCCTTACTTTTCCTGCATGTCACTGAGTGCATCTTCTGCCCTCTGCAGTCCCTCCATGTCTCGCAGCATCTGCCTGATGTGGGATTGGGAGTACCGGTGCTGGACATAGGCGAACCAACATCCGCCGACGGCGACTACCAACGAGACTAAGAGAGTCGTGTCCTTCAAGTAACTATGGATGGCTGAGGGCACAAAGAAAGCAAGACGGTGTGTTGTACAGTAGTTGGGATTTTTGGAACATACGGTCACACACATGACGGCAAACTCAGCAAGTTTTCAAGCATGATGAAGCCAACAGAGCCTTAATAGATACAAAGTCTTCTGTTCTAACTCACAGATCAGTGACACACATACACAGTAGATTATCCTGTTTTAATATGACATTTTAACTTCTCACTTGGGGAAAACAGTACAGTAAAAAAAGATATACCAAAATCTTTAAACTAATGTTGAAGATCTATACGAAGAACAAAAACTGCACATTTTTTAAAATCTTTTTGGGAAGGGGGGTGGGTAAGGTTAACTACAGGTACAGCACATTTTTAAGTTAGGTCACAAAAAAAATCCCAAAGAACTTTTATGCTGTCGTATTTTGCTGGGCAGGCTTAGTAATTTAAAGTTCATTCACACAACTGCTCATCCGTCGTAAGTTGGTAGAGGGGACAAGCTGTTACAATAAACTCCTGGTATAAGAAATTTAGATTACTGCGGAGTTATTGAGACAACATGTACATACTGGAACAAAACAGCTGTGTTCCCCCCCCCCGCATCATGTGGAAAAGAGAGACCATGTTAAAATACACAAACTTAAGCGTTAAAACAAATAACAGGACACACTGACACAAAACACTCATAAAATTAAATAAAATGCAACAAAAATAATATGACCATGAAACCAAATATTATCTCAATATTTGTTTACCAGTTATCGATAGTCAGATACTGGAATGATTTACAATTCGCACGACATGTTATTCCTTTAAATAAACATTCAAAAGAAAAAAAGAACACATGGACCGAGATGGAGCTCACGTTTTGGCGGTCCAAATAAAACAACGTCCATGGCTTTGAGAGAGATCTTCTGCCTGTGGATGGGATCGGTGATTCCGAGTATCGACGTCAGAAACTGGGCGCTGTTGATGGCTAGCCTGTGTGAGAGACACAAGAGAAAACAAAGGAGTTTCTTATGTCCCCCGTATTTACCGAGGAGGAAACAAGGAAAGAGTGTCCTTCAGAGAGTCCATGAAATGGGCTTTTGTTAGATACACATTTTGAACAACTTTCTGCTCCTCGTAAATACATGTAGATATACAAACTACATGCATTTGGAAAGTGCACTTCTTCAAACATTTGAAGTTTCTGGACCTGTGAGGGCACTGTTGCCATGATGTCAAATTTGGAATACACTGTCTCAGTTAATTTGACAGCAATTACAAGTACAGTGTACATGTAGGAAGAAAGCTACGGTACGGTACATAGTGCATGTGCATGTACATGTACGTTTTCATTGCTCTTTTGCAAGAGATACACCATGTAGAACTTCCAGCACTCTATAGAAGAATGTTGCACCTCACATAAAAAGTACCAAAACAATCTGCTACCGCTGATTCATTGTTCAAACAGCACACTACTACATGTAATTCATTAGTCAGAAAACAGTGACCACGTAACTGTGACATACATGTACATGTACATGTACCCGGTAGTGTACATGTACATGTATGTGCAATCCATGTGTTTGAAATTTGACCAATCAATAACAACAAATACAGTAGATACATGTACATGTGCATGTACACATGAGCCTTCCATCAATGTCAAATTGGTCTAAATGAGAACGGCTCCAAGAGTTGCAAAAAAGGAATGTTAAATGTAGTTTCCACTGTCACTCTATATACATATCCAGGGACCCAACAAAAAAATGAAGCCCCAATACATGTAAATGCACTCTCCAAATGCACCAATCAGTCATTTATACATGTACAAGTACCTCTAAACCACTGGCCAGCATGCACTCTAAAGACAGGATGTCGTGTATTGGAAATTCACAAGTGCAGGTGATACAATTAATCAAGTGCATGATATATTTTCCGGAATTTTTTTCTGTTTTGTCTTGGTTTTTTCCCCCAGGAGAGTGAAGGCCAACAGGCACTTAAGTTACAGCCATGATCCCTGGCAACTCAGACTGCCCCTTGGAAAACAGGTGGTTCCTTACAAACTGCAATCTCCTGCACATTGTGGGATATACATGCACATGAGCCAGGACTGTACGTTTTACCATGGAGGTAGAATCACATTCTACAATGTACCTCCATGATTTTACAGTGTCGAGGGGCTTCAACGGACCTTCAATTTTGCAATTGAAAGTCTTACAGGAACCCCTCCGCCCGGGGCCATTGTTATCTACATTTCGGCAGTCCTTGTGAACAAATTTGTGGCTGAGGATTTGAAAGGGCCAGGTGATTTTCGGTCAGCAAATAATTAAAAAAACTGACTATGAAAAATGTCCACTGCTCTGGACCACAATGGACCATATCCCACATACATACATGCATGTCTGTATTTTTGTCAGGATTCATAGGTACATGTATTAGGGTCACAATCTCTATAGAAAAATAAAATGACCGATGCACAACCCCTTTTCTTTTTCCATACAAAGGGATGCAATAATCCTCAGGGAAAACTGTCCAATTCTAAAGTTACAAGCACACTGAGTACATGTTTATATTTTAGCAGCAAACATTCTTTGAAGTTTGATGTAATTTTCAACACAGCTCCAGCTTCCACTGTGCGGTACTAACATGTAATGCATGAGGACTGGCATGCGTATAGCCTTCAAAGTTCAATACATATGACAGAAACAACAAAACCTCCAGTCAGTTTGAGTTGAAATTCACTATTTGTACTGATAAGTCTTTAAGAGGATACTAAATTTTTTTGTGTTTAAATGAGGCTAGGGATAGCCAAGTTCTGGTGGAAAAGGAGCGGAATCCCCCCCTGGTTTGAGATGCACATCTGACATCTTTGTAAGATGCCATCTTCCTTTTGTCTGAAATTATCAGACGAGTAGTAAGGGACACGTTACAAAGATGTCAGAGGTGTATTGATAGGGATGGTTGCCATGTGGAGGGCACAGCACATTAAACTTATGAGGTAAGTAGTCAAAACAAAGCAGATTAGACTGATTTAGGTACATTCCTTGTTTTCAAGCAAAGGTAGGGTATTCTGCACACTTGCATTGTTGAGCCTTGTTAATCAAATATGCAAACTTGTCACAGTGCCGATTTCAGTACCCTTATTATCAGTCTAGTTTGTTCACTCATCTGTGTCAATAACATCGCAAACTGTATGCGCTTGCAAAGAGGACATTCTGCCCTTTTTCTAGAGATGTTTCTTTCCCATATACATGTATGAAGTAGTTCTGCCATTACAGTAATTTTATCTCAGTATCCTTTTTATGTGGTCACCCTGGATTTCCAAGGGAGACACTCCAGGCTCTTGCAATGCCACAGGAAATGGACTGTTCCCAGCTGCACACAGGTGGCATCACATTATGCTCTCACCTTGGGATAGCGGAACCTTCAATGGCATTTTTCTTGAAGGCCTCCCCATACTGAGGTAGCTCTACAAAATCACACAGCCAGGACACAGTCTGCTCAACGGTCCAATTGTAGACTGAAATTAAGAAGAAATGATAAACTTACATTAAGAACACTAAACGTCTACATGTAACTAACTAGAATTAATCTGTTACAGCAACTGGCTCTTTACAAATGTGCATACATGTACAAGACTGAAACATACATGTACCCTACATGTATGTACACCACTACAGGTTGCACCACTACACATGTACATGTACATGTAAATGTGCATGTATTAAGAGAAAGACTGCAGACATGTACACGTGCCAGTCCAAGCCAACGATGTGCAATGTGTGCATGTACTGGTACATGGACACACTGTACGTAACTACAAAAATGCACAAAATTTGCCCCATATCCATGTTTTTTCCCAGAAGAAAAATTTCATGATAGACACATACATGTACATGTACTGGTAGTATTAGTTACATGTACCCCCGGTACCAGGTTATACCCGGTGTACACCTGTAAGCAGCAAATTACATGCATGGGTCATTCTAAAAATAAGGGGTCTCAATTTTTTTGTGTCCCTGTAACATCTGACATACATGTACATGTACCCGTACATGTATGATTTTGTAAGTTCAGAAGACATTTTTTATTTCCAAGAGTGATGAATTAATGCAAATTTCCAGCCAAACAATAGAAATACCGGTAGCTTGAAATCGATTTCAGTGACATTTCCATATCAACTTACACAGGTCAGGTGTAACAGGGACACAAAAATGTCATGCTTCTGGACCCTAAAATCATAGAATGACCCATAAATGTGTATACCAACATGTACTGTAGTAGCACATTATCCATGCAGCATGCTCATGTACCAGTGCATGTACATGTACATGTACACTATGTACATTGTACACTATGTACATTGTACAGTACATACACCAGTATTCACACTGTACATGTACCGGTAGTCAAGTAAAACCAAAGGAAATTTTTAATTAACTTTTTTTCCAGAAATGAAATTCATCAACACAATTCCTGGAAGATAATCCTGCAAGTGGTGAATCAGTGATCTACCGTATCAACTTTTGCTGTGGGGCAAATCGCTAACTGATTTGAGCACTAGCACAGCTGTCACAATGTATAATGTACATGTACTCCGGTAATTCCTGCACACAAGCCAAAGGGACACAAATTTTCAATCACAATTTTAAGAGGCTTCATTCATGTCATTACTGTCCACAATTTCATTACATGTACATGTAGATGCACAAAGTTCACATCAACATAGCAAAGAGAAAGAAAGGATGCATCTTTGGTGTCTGTGTGACACACCTACCGGTACAAAAGTACATGTAACTACACTTGATATGACTAAAGCAGAACGTTACCCAATTTCATTCAAATTACGGAAAATGTCTCAGCAATGAACAGACCGCAATTTGCATATCTGGCAATAAAAAAATTGATTATTCTTCAAAATATGAACCAAAACGCACCTTGTCAAGACTACGTGTACTTAAAGAATGACTTGAGTTATTTAAGACACCAACTTGCACATGTATAATAATGATCATTCTGGGATACCATTGTTTTGCAACCATGCAAAACAAGGCAGTTGGACTCATTTGAAGTTTGAAATCCAAAGGTTTGTCCCAGATGACTTGATTCCAAACCCTCTCCCAACAACAAAGCAAGTTTAGAACAGTTTTCAGGAGATGTACATGTATTTTAAAACCTTCAATAAAAACCTGAAGTTAAGGAAATAGGAGCCATAAAGAAAATGGTACAAAATTGACGACAAATGATGAGGCTGATTTGCCTCTCTTCATTCCCTGCATTAGTTGTTCATCAACACTCCAACTTTACCAGCACACATGTACAGGTGTACATGAATATCAAGTGAAAAATAGGATGCACTATCTGGGCCAAAGGTCAAACAGCCCAGGAAGCAGCAAAACATTTCTTGAACATCACAGTCAAGACTGGACAGACTTCCCACAGTATAGTCCTCATTGGTAATTCGGACCAGGGTTTATGGAAACTCAGTTGATGAAAATACATGTAAGATACATACACATGTGGTTCAAGTCATAAAAGGATAATTACTTTGGGTCATTTGTTACACTGTTACAAAGGACATTTTAAAACTCGTACTGTACCAGTACATGCACATCAGTTTTACGTGGTGGTTTGTCATCTTTTACATTTTTTACGGAATCAAATGACGTACACTACTGCAGACTGCAGGACCTGTTGAAAGACATTCACTTTACTTTTGTGATTATGGTTTTAAAACACATTATCATCTGTCACCATTTGCAAATCTGTAAAAAATTACAGCAGTAATTGTTACTTCCCGTTGATAATTAGGAGGCTAGGATTCATAAATGATTAGGTGGCTAGAATACATGTAGGGATTTCATACAGTATCTGTCAAAAATACATGTACATGTACTGACATTCAAGACTTTTAATTATTTAATTCTGATGAAGATGGAGGACATGGTCACGGTCAGCGGTGTTCCAGATACCGGTATCAGTCACGACTCCTCTCATTCTATCAGACATTGTGAGTGAATGCGAGTGAATTGTGAGTGAGTGTTAAGGAGATCAGAACCCCAAAATCCATGATTAGCCAATGGCTCATACATGTACATGTACATATACCAGGCATTTTGTAGAACATGACGTTTTCACTCAACTTGTATCAATTGGTGTACATGTACAATCAATGTGTCATTTCATTAAATGCCCATTGGCCACACCATGCATTCTACCCAAACCAGCCAATGTGAAAACATCTAAAAACCAGCCAGCACAAAATATGTCCTGAGGAAACATCGCTTGACATGGCATTTGAAAAAAAAAATAAAATATTGAGGCCTCAGGCCTTGTTTGAATTAAGGAATTTCAACTACTACTCCGGTACCTGTACATGTATATGTACAGGTACATGTATTCAAGTCTACATTCAAGCATGATGAACAAACATGTACATGTACATGAACATGTACAAGTATTGCACACTGCATGTATTCAGTGTGGTGCTCTTTTGATGTCACATCATTTTTTTCCTACAACTGGCTGCTAAAGCTATTTGTACGGTACAAAAGTAAAAAAAAACTCACACAGTGTTATGAATCCCTTGCAGCTATCAGAATAGCAGATAATAATGAAAAAACATACATGTACGGTATCAGTACCTTTTTAAACAAATTGCACTAAAATCGAAAATCAAACAAAAGGGCATATTCCTGCAACCTTTGGCTGCCCATACAAGGCACAATGAGAGTGGCCTAAAATGTACATGTACGGTAGATCTTTTGTCAGTTTGTATCCTGGGTAACATGTAAAAGGTGAACACAATAATAATTTATCAAGAGCAAACGCCTCTATCAAACGGCAAGGTCTCACAAAACTGCACGTTTTTTGCACTGAAGCCAGCCACTTACGTACATGTCTAACATAGCGGCACATGTACAGTGTACATGTAGATATAGGGTATAAAGGTTTTTCCCAGTATGAGGTAACTACATGTACATGTAATTACTACACTATTGTTCCCGATGCATGAAAAACGAAAATAACATGTTCTGTCAATTAAGCTCCAAGTCACCAGTGCCAAGTTTTCTAGAAAAATAAATCAATGTCCATGTGTAGAGGAGCAGAAAATTAGTTGGGAGATTTTTTTCTATGTACCGGCACATGTACTTTTTAGGTGTACTTCCACCCTGCCTGTAATAGTAGCGTCTACCCTTCCCCTATGCTGCCTGGCAAAAGGACATAATTATGTCAGCTATTGCGATATAGACCCAGTAAGAAATTAGCGGACCATAACAATGTACAGGGTTGGCATCGTATTTACAGGTAGATGGCCATAACTCTTCATGTGTGTCCATTTTACAAAGTTTACCAATCCTTTAGACTAATCTGTAAAGAAGCCCTTACTGCGAAGACACTGGACTTGTGCACTAGACTCATGCACAGCACATGCACTTAGCAAGCTACAACACCCAACTGGTTGACGAAACACGTACATGTAACATGCTCATACCGTCACTGACCACCTGTCCACGCGTGAGGTACATGTACCACCACAGTGACAGCTTCAAGCCTTCCTATTGGCTACCCACCTTCAGAGTATTTCCAGGCCATCCACAGGTCGTCCACACTGATGAATTTATCTTCCCCGTGCAGTGTCTGCTGCCGCTCAAAGTCGCTCTTGTACTGCAGCTCATCACGCAGGAACTGTAAAGTTAAAAGTGAAGAAAGAAAAAACAGTCAGGGACAATTTGACTCTATTTGTTACGAACAGATGAGTACTGGAAGACATGTACCGGTAGTTACAGGGGTTTTTTGGAATGAAACTTTGGGGTAATGGGTGGTACAGGAACTGGATATCCTACTGGTAGACATACATGTACATGTACACATTGTACCGGTATATACATGTATGTACATGTGCATGGTACCCGGTAATTACCCCTAATCAAATCACAATTTAAATTTGGTTAAAATTTCAAATAAAAAACTCGCAGTTCCAGTACCAGCGTATCGTACCAGTACCTGTTATATCCCTGTATACAATACACAGGTACCAGGTACCAGCACATGTACAAGTTGTAGTTTCTTACATATATATTCTGTATAGTCTGAGTACATGTACCTTGTATCTTCTGTGCAGTACATACACATGTACATACAAATACACTGTAGATCTTGGTCTTTCTCCTGCCTGTTACTGGTGATTTTTGGCCGGTTTGACACTCTTAATCCGAAAGCCAAGGTTGAGCTGCCTACAGCCAGGTGGTAATTACCGCCCTACAATGACTGAATAATTCGCTCCTTCATGTTTACAGAGCTTCCAACCTCTCCAATTTACAGCCTTTCTGTTTCCACAGCAACCAAGGAATCACCAGGCATGTACACACTGTTCGACAGCCAAGAAGGATGGCAGTTATGAACTGCGTGCAGGTCAACATCTCAACAGAGTATCTATCTCCGTTTATAACATCATCATTGTTGACAGCTAGAGAAGGTCAAAACAAGTGACAAACTGGCAATGATGGGGTTTGCCAATGTACATGTACATGTATTACACTACATGTACATGTAGATGAGGGAGGATCCACCAAACAAGGAAGTTTACACGATGCTTGCAGTTTTAACAGAATTCATCAACACAGTGAATGAGCTTATACATGCATATTGCTGAATCAAACCAAACCTGCGGTAACAAACCAATCAGCATAGACCAAGTGGCTTAGTATCCATCATTCAAATGTGCATGGAGTTTGCGGAATCTTTAACAAAACCCCACAGAGTGCACAAAGCCGGCTGAATCCAGCTATCCACAAGAGGAACCAAGTCAGCACAAAGCTGGTTAAATCAGTCCGACAACCGAACAGAATCTACCGTACCAACCCAATGAATGCAAAGCTTTCAGAATCCAAAAGAATCCAACAATCCACGGCAAGTTCGATGAAGGACCACAGTTAACCATAGTTTGACTACTTCTAAACAAACGCACGTTAGTCTACGATGGTTAGACTATTTACAACCAGTCTATCAAGGTTGCTCGCATCATTTGTTGCCTTAAACCCTTTTTAAAAAGCACGGTGCAGAGAGGACCAGTAATAAGGAAAATGCCCAGAAACACAGTCTATCAATAGTAACCGACCATTTTCACTTTTAGGTTTGCTATTTTGCCCTTCTATCCTGCAGTCACCTTTTCTCCCCTTTTGCCTAATGACCTGACGATGGTTGACTAGGGTCATTGGCAATTCAACTTTACTGCACATGCACTAGGTGGTACAGTACCAGTACGTCACGAAACAAAAACTAGTTAACTACCATGCTGGTACAGGTACATGTATACATGTATGAAGCGGTCCTTGATCGAACATGACCACAAAGGTTCTAAAGTTCGATAATCGCAACACCAAAGGCCAACATGTATCACGCCAATGTGTCAGTCTGTGCCCTCAATAAAAAAAAAAAGCTGTATGATCAAGCATGGCTGAAGACCAAGGATCTCTGTGCAAACACAATATATCCACATCTGATCATCTGATGACAGTGCAAAGATCGATGGAAGTGATACGCTAACATTGATTTTACAGCACTGGCTTCAGCAGCTGATTGTCTGGTGGCCTAGAGCGTGTAATTGCCTTCTAAGAGAAGGTACACATTTGATCTGGTACACTGCATGTGCTACTGCAGCATACGTACACACTGTCCATGCACTCGTGGGAAAAGAAAACAGATCATGTACATGTACATGTACAGTTGTACACAGACATGTACCGGTACATGTTCCCTTATAAAATATAGGAGATGAAATACATTCATGTACATATTGCCTATAAGTGTTACCCTTTTCCCGTCAAATGAGCCAGTTCAGTTTTCCAACAGCCCATGCCCAGTACCGGGCTATTCAGGTACTGCTACGCGCACGCGCACGTCTGAGAGACTCGGGCGCTTTTTTTCCCACACTGCTATCAGCGACCACAGTCGCCCGCAAGAACAGTGCTTTATATATGAATGAAGGAAGCAAACCTTTAACCCCCGAACCCTCATCTGGGTATTTTCTGAAAGCTGAATACGTGGCAAACATTTCTCAACAGTAAAACCATGTTTGTTTCTGACAAAATTTTCTGCAATTTCCGATCGAAATTCTGTGCGTCCCGAGGTTCAAGTGCTCGCTAAAACAAAAGGCGTGTACAATGGAAGCTTCAGCAGCATTTCAGGAGATTTTTGGAGACTCGGACTCCAGAGATTCCGACTTCAAAGGCATTTTTGCAGATGATTCTTGTAATAGTGATGATGACTTTGTCACCCAGGGCTCCACTGACATTAGCGTGGACGATGCATTTGACAGGCCACAACAACACGACGATGGCTCTGGTGAAGTTCGCCTACAACCTAGAGGTAATCACGGTGATGCAACTCAGATCACAGCACGTAATGATGCATTTCAGAGGGCGTACCAGCATGACTGGCTGAGCGATGTCAGCCATCCACACGGCCAGCTGATTTTTAATGCCGAAGAGCCTACAGAATATGGGATTTTTCTCCCATTATTTTGATTCAGAGGTTATTGACTTCCTTGTAGAAAAAAACAGATACATGATATGCAGCGACCACCATTGCAAGTAAAGGCGGTATGGAAAGCTTGGGAGAACAATCGAGATTTCGCAAGTGGTGAGTTGTCAATGACACCGAAATGAGAGCATTTCTGGCTATATTGCTGTTGTTCGGCATTGATCGTTGCCCCATACTGGACCACAGACTGGACAATGAAGGTCCCCGAAATAAGGTCCATAATGTCCTGGGATCGCTTCGAACTAATCTTGACCTTTATCCATTGCACCGACAATGCGTTGCTGACTCAACCTGGTGATGCCAGCCATGATCAACGAGGCAAAATAAAAGAACTAATGGACATGCTTGTGACTCGATGGATGTCGGGTTCTTATCCAGACCGAGAACTGTCAGTTGATGAAACAATCATACCGTTCAAGGACCCCACTGGAATGAAAGTGCACAAACCCGACAAACCCCACAAGTAGGGACTGAATTGCTGAAATTTGGTTGAGGCAAAGACTGGATACATCTGGAATGCTGAACTTTAGCAGGGAAAGAAAACTGATGATGTTGAGGTTGGCTTGTATAACAATGTTGTAACGACACTTTGTGAGCCAGTGTACTGGTGCATGTACCGGTACATGTACAGTAGGGACACCACATGTATAGTACATGGACAATTTGTTTTCTTCTCCTGCTCTGTTCAAGGAACTTGAAACAAACAATGATGGTGCATGTGGCACACTCTGCATCAACTGCGCAGGAACACCGGACGTGACCAAGAAATCTTAACTGAAGAAGGATGACCCACTCCAGGCTCTTCATGACGGAAACTTACTGTTCCTTGCGTGGCATGACAAGAGGCAAGTCAATGTGATGACGTCCGTCCACAATGCCAACACATTCAGGAAGCAGGTGTGTGCTCGTGGGCAGCGAGACCCTTGAGAAGTTGACAAACCAGTGGCCATAGAATGTTACACCAAGTAAATGGGTGGAGTTGACAGAGCTGACCAGGGCATGTGGTATCATCTGAACATTCACAAGACCGTAAAATAGTGGGGAAAGGTGTTCATATATACATGTACATGTATCTGCTCAAGGTCGGCTACATTGTATTTCAACAGCTGGATTGTGTGGAAATCTCTCCATCCAGACACTCGGCAATCTCCCCGAGAAGTTCCGCTATGAGGTCATTCATGGGCTGTTGGAAGGATACTCAAGGCCCGATGGGAGACCAGGGCGTCGACCCACTGACGCACCTGCACGCCTGACAGAATGTCACTTTCTGGCCATCAACAATGAACTGACACCAGCTGGACGCCCATCAAAACCAGATTGTGTTGTTTGTTCAAAGCGTCCATACCATACATAATGAATGTCGACTACAAGGCCGACTATGTCCCTGGTTACCACAAGTAAGAGCTGTAAATGGACTGGAGAGTATGCCTACATTGACAGATAATCACGTAAGGTCTTGTTTTCACTGAATTCCAAATAGTTTTTGAACATAATTAATTGCTTATAGTGTAAGACTCATGTATTCATGTGTACATGTACATGCATATTGTTATATGTACAGTACATGTATAGGCATGTGCTGGCTAGTTCCTGTAAATCTTTACAAGACCCCTTGAACCTTCTCTCATGGTTTGAACACGCATCAGGAACTGCACACATTTCTAACTTTGACAAAAGCCACATAATGTACATAATTCAAAAGAAGCTAAACCACGGTGCACTGCGAAGCCAAATCTGCGTGCAAAAACAGGGTGTAAACACACCTCAGGCAATATTCTGTGTGTGGTTTGACCTTGACACGAGACAGCTCATCTATAGTCAGATATTTTTACATGATTACATGTATTGTGGGATTGAAATACATGGACGAGTACCCACAAATGATGAGAAAAGTCAATTCGAGTGAGGCTGTCAAAAAAATGAAAGGGGTGATTTCTTTTATAGATATTGCATATTTTAGCCCAATAATCATATGCAAAATATTTAATATTTTGAAGCCTCAGTGTCCCTTTGAAAAAGTGATTGAAAATTGTGCTGTGTTTATTTCTCACTGTAGATTAGTGTTTCTAAGTAAAATGTCAAACAAAAACATCAGGAGTGATTGAGCAGACATTTTGAAGAAAAATTCATTATTTTCATTTTAA